TATTAGACATAGAAAAAGCATTTGTTAAAATTCAGCATTCCTTCATGATAAAAATCCTCAACACACTAAACATAGATGGAACATACCTCAGAGTAATAAAGGCCACATATTGCAAACTCATTTTCCAGCAACCTACTAAACAGAACAAGGATCTCAGTGTTCACCATTTCTATTCCACACAGGCATCCATATTGGAAAATAGGAAGTGAAATAATCCCTGTTCACTGATATGATCTGATATCTAGAAAATCCTAAATACTTAACCAAAAACACTCTTGCATTTGATAAATGGATTTAGTAAAGTTTTGGGATCCAAATTCAATGTATAAAATGAGTGGCATTTCTATATACCAGTCCAGCAGAGAACCAAATTAAGAAGGCAACCTCATTTACAATAGCTACAAAAAATAAAATAAAATACCTAGAAACATATTTAACAAAGGAAGTGAAATATTTCCACAAGGAAATCTATAAAACATTTATGAAAAAAATTGCAGATGACACAAACAATTATAAAAACATCTCATGGTCATGGATCAAAATAATTAACATTGTTAAAATGACCATATTGTCCAATGCAGTCTACAAATTCAATGCAATCCCTAACATAATGACAAGGCCAATGTTTACAGAATTAGAAAAAACTATCCTAAAATCCAAAGGGAGCCAAAAAATAGCTTAAATAGCCATAAACAATCCTGAGCAAATAGAACAAAGCTGAAAGCATTGCAATACCTGACTTCAAATTAGACTACAAAGCTATAGTAACTAATACAGTATGGTACTGTTATAAAAATAAACATATAGAGCAATGGAAAAGAATGAAGAACACAGAAATAAAGCCATATTTCCACAAATAACTGATCTTTGACAAAATTGACAAGGACACACATGAGGAAAAGGACACCTTTTTCAAGAAATTGTGATGGAAAAAATTAGATTACCATATACAGAAGAATGAAATTAAACCTCTATCTCTCATAACACACAAAAATTAACTCAAAATGGATAAAGACTTAAATATAAGATCTGAAATTATAAAAATACTAGAAGAGTATACCTAGGGAAACTCTTCTGGACATTGATCGAGAAAAAAAAAATGACCAAGAACTTAAAACCACAAGCATCAAAAAGAAAAATAGACAAATTTGACTTGATTAAACTAATAGGCTCTGCCCAGTAACATAAATAATCCAAAGAGTGAACTGATAATCTGCATGAGAAAAAATATTTGTAAACCATGTATCATACAGAGGATTAATATCCAAAATTTAAAAGAAGCTCAAAATCCCCAATAATCCTATTACATAGTGGGTAAATGACACAAATGGCCAATAGGCATATGAAAAAATACTCAACACCACTAATCATTAGAGAAATGCAAATTAAGACCACAATGAGATATCATCTTATACTAGTCAGAATAACTAGTATTAAAAGGACAAAAAAAAAACTAATTTGGTAAAGGGTGTGGAGAAAAGGGAATTATTATACACTGTTGGTGGGAATGTACATTAGTATAACCTCTAAGAAAACTATAGATATTTTCAAAGAGCTAAAAATAGCTTATTTGATCCAGTAATTCCACTACTGGGCATCTACCCAAAGAAATCATTATAAAAGCATATAAAAACATTAAATCATTAAAAAAAACATTATCTTCACTCATATGTTTTCTGCAGCACTGTTCACAATAGCAAAGATATGGAATAGACCTAAGTGCCTACCAGCAGCGGATGATTGGTTAGAGAAAAGGTGGTGTATATATATGCACAATGGAATACCATTCAGTCACAAAAGGAATGAAATCATGTCTTTTTTAGTATCATGGATGGAACTGGAGGTCATTATCTTAAGTGAAGCAACTCAGAAACAACCAGACAAATACCACATTCTTACTTATAAGTGGGAGCTAAATAATGTGTACTTATGGACATAGAATGTGGAATGACAGATACTGCAGACTTGAAAGGGTGGGAAGGTAGGAGGGGGATGGATAGTGAGAGATTACTTAATGGGTACAATATACATTATTGGAGTAATGAATACCCTAAAAACCCTAATTTTACCACTATACAGTCTATGCATGTAACAAAATTACACTTGTACACCTTAAATCCATACAAATTAATAATAATAATTTTAAAATGGCATATGTAAATTAGGCAAATATGTTCTTGCTTGAAAAATTCCTATTTATCCCATGTAATATTATATGATATATTCTTAATACATACGTTTGTCCAATGCCTGCATCTAATAAATTAAACTTTGAAACTGTGCTTCTCAAAGAAGCACACTGAAAGATTCTGTTAAAATATAATCACAGGCGTGAAATTTATATCCTTATAACTGATTATCATATGGCTGGTATAGTGATAATTGTTCACTAAAAAGAGAGTGAAATTTTAACGTATAAACACTCATTTTTCAATTACTTAGAGGATTATTATGGTATTTCCTGTGAATTATTATTTTATAGCTAATATTGCTGCTATTACACATAGCATTTTTGCAAAACAAACAAAAGTTGACAACTTTATTAAAACCTTCTCACTATTCACTGAAAGAAACTCTTTTTAATTTTCTTCCTTCATTTTCCTATCATTCTCCAATGGAAATGCATGTCTGACAAATTTTTAGAGAAAATTCATCAAAAGACATTTAAATTAAATATATCTCTCTCAAGTTACATTAGCCAAAATAACTATATGAATGTGGATCCAATTTCTCTTCAGTATAAAATGGATTATTTTTATTTGGCAGTGTATAAATAAGCATTTTATCTAATGTCAACATTTAAAACACAGTGTAACACTTGTATGTTTGTGACAACTCCACCTTTCCTTTTTAAAACGTTGCACGTGAGTAGACCAATAAGCAATAAACAAAGTGGTACTTCTATTGCTTTATTAAGTTGACAATAAAATAATATTTGGATTAAGAAGAATATAATTATCCTTCCCATTTCTACCAACAAAATAATCACTAATAGCCAATGGCAGTCATGAGCCCCAGTCCCAAGTGCCTTTTGAATCAAATTCTTCACAAAGCAATCCAAAATCCCAAATATTAAATCAAAATGTAGTTAATTCAGTCTGGTCCTTATGAAAACTAACCAAAAACCACGCTACTTTTAAGAGTATTCTTCTATCATTTCAAAGCATGATAGTACTATAATTTTGAAGAGTTTTTGCTTGTTTGTTTTAGAGACGTCTCAATATGTTGCCCAGGCTAACCTTGAACTCCTGAGTTCAAGCGGTCCTCTCTGCCTCAGCTTCCTAAGTAGATAGGACTACAGACACACATCATCACATCTGGCTTTGTTTTTATATAGAATTTCACAATTTGTATGTAAACTCATATTTTCTTAGTGGTCATCCAATTTCAAAATAACAGGAAACTTATTCCATCTTTCATTGGTAATTTTATTCTCAAAGACAACTCTAATTCCCAGTTTACACTTGATCAAATGTTCAAACAACAGGGCTCTGACTAGCTACGAATGACTCATTATCAGCCACAACCTTGGCAGGAAGCATAATTTCACTTTACATATGTAGCACATATACTAAAACAGGAACGACACAGAGAAGATTAGCATGGCCCCTGCACAAGGATGACACACAAATTTGTAAAGTGTTCCACATTTTTTAAAAGTGATTATTTTTTATTTTCACTTCCTACAAAGATTACATTTTAAATTTCTTCGATGTTTTAAAAGACTCCCAAACTAGAAGCTAATTTAAATGTTTTTTAAATGTCCAAAATGGCACATTTCCTCTGCCTTCACTTCTCTTGCCTTCATGTCAATCTATTACAATCATATCAATACTGCAAAGCTCAGATCAAATTCATCCCTGCCACCTCTCTTCTCTAAGTTAGGTATGACCTCTACTTTCTCTAAATTTCTGTAACACTCAGTGGTTTTCTTATGTTATCATCACAGTCTGTCTTTTAGTACATGTTAAACAGGTACTAGTTTCTCTCACACTTAAGTTTGTAAGCTCCTAGAAGTCAGAGATCATGCCTTTTTAAAAATCAATTTCCCATATTGCCCAATACACTGACACTGACATATATATATATAACATATTTGTTGAATAAATTAAGGAATAAGGGAACAAATAAATGGGTTGCTATGATGAACTATAACCTTAGGGTTCTATATACCCACATACCACCTCACAAAAAGAAAAAAATACTCACAAGCCTAGTTCATATGATACTTGGGAAGAAGTCAAAAAGACCATGTGTCAAACTAACAGGAAATTGAGGAAACTGTGTATTCTTTGTGTTTCATTACTCAATGGTCATAATCTTTTGAAAACATAGGTATTCTAATACGATAAACATAACAAATTATTATAAATATTTGTTTAATATTTTACAGGTTTTAATACATATTTTATTCAAGTTATCTCCAGACAGTCAATTAAATAAGTTGGATAGATTGTTCACTATGACCTTTATTTTACAGTTGAGAAAACACGTTCAGTAGGCTGAATGTCATATCCAAGGTCATTCAGCTATGTGGAAAATGAGAATTGGGTGAAAAACAGGAATTCCAACTGCCAGACCATGTGGGAAATGACAGAATTGAAACCCAAGTCCTATATGGTATATCAAACCTCACAACTGCTTCTCAAACTCCAAAATGATGCACCATTTTTACTTTGCTTCACCCCAGCAATGGGAGTGGTTTTTGTGTACTCTTTTACTCTATCATTGGTCTGCTTGTGTCTCCTATACACTATACACATAAACTGCAAGACAGAAAGCTAGAATTAAAAATGAGATGAGGCCATGGAATAAAAACAAACAACAGCAACAACAAACCTGGCAGGCCTAGTCAGAAATTAAATTAATCAATATTGTATGCTAACCAACTGAATCAATGAACTGTGTGCTATTACTGCAGATCTAACGGAATTGCTAATATTGTATCAAAATGTGCATGTAGTTAGTACCTTTGTCTTCTTCTAAATCATGATTCTTACCTTTATAACAGAAGTACCAGCTCTGGAGAGTGGACTGTGAATCTGAGCTGCAGCAGCCATGTTGGCAATAGTATTGAGATGATTCATTTGATTCATTGCCATGGCAACTGATGCAGGAGGTAAGCTAACTGGAAGTAGGGGATGAGGCATCATCATAAATGGCAGATCCAGCCCTAAAAGAGACAGTGTATGTTAAACTTGTTACATTATGATGCTATGAAATAGTTTGTTAAATGGTACCTAAATTTTATCTCTTGACTCTTTTTAAAAATTTCAAATATTATTATAGCCTAGTATCTCTTAAGGCCCTTAATAATATTTCTAGTATTTTACACTGACTAATAATTTTTAAAATCTTCCTATATCCACACTTTTAATTATAAAGATGTTTTGTTTTTGCTTTTACTTTCAAAATATATATTTTATTTATATATTTTATATATATATATATTTTTGAGTAGGAGTCTTACTCTGTCACCAAGGCTAGAGGGCAGTGATACACATGCGCCTCCATTCCCAGCTAATTGTTTTGATTTACTATAGATATGAAGTCTTGCCAGGTTCGCCAGGCTGGTCTTGAATCCCTAGACTCAGACAATCCTCTCACCTCCACCTCCCAAAGTGTTGAGATCATAGGAGTGAGCTACCGCACCCCACCACTTTCAAAATATTTATAAGATGAAATCTTTTTACCCATTAAAAACAAACAAAAATCTTTAAGCCAAATGTCATTGCATCTAACAAATAAGAAGTAACTTTCTTTTAAATCTTTTTGCCTATAAAAACAAACAAAAATCTTTAAGACAAATATCATTGTAACAAATAAGAAGCAGCTTTCTTTTAAATCACTATAACCCTTGTTTTTAAAAACATCCTAATGATAATCTATTGATGTGTTGATAGTTTCCAGATTAACACTTTCTTTAAAAGACTTAATAGAAGTCTTGGTAAAGCAGGATGTAAATTCTCTAAGCTTCAGAACTACTGAGAATAAAAGAGGACTTGGAATATGTTATACCTCTTTCAATATAAATCTCTAAAATGAATGTTTACAACTTTAATTTGAAGTGTTTGTCAATAAATAATAACATTGCTATCAAAATATCCATCTGTTTTACCATTTAATAACAAACAACAATATTTTTTAGTAGTATCAAGAATTCCATTTTTTTTAGTGTACATTGAAATAATTTTCATACATTTGAAATCTCTTAGAGAATATTGCTCGACCGGATTCGGTGGCTCAGTCTGTAATCCCAGCACTTTGGGAGGCCAAGACAAGTGGATCGTCTGAGCCCGCGGGTTCAAGACCCACCCAGGTAACTTGGTGAGATCTCGTCTCTACAATAAATCAAAAATTAGCCGGGCATGGTAGTGCATGCCTGTAGTTCCAGCTACTTGGAAGGCTGAGGCAGAAGAATCACCGGAGTCCAGCAGGTTGAGACTGAGATGAACGGGAGCATGACACTGCACTCCAGCCTGGGCAACAGAGTAGAGATTCCAAATCAAAAAATAAAAATAAAAAAGAATATTGCTCAATTATTATTCATGTCCAACTTGTGGTAGCCAGAGATATGTCATCATGTAAAAGATAACATTAAAATAATTGTCTACTTACCCCTTACCAGGTTGGCATTTGTGAGAGGCAAGGCCTTAGAGCAGATGCTAGGAAAAGTTAGCCTAACCTTATGAATGCTAACATGACTGTAAGTAAACTGTAGCACTTTACAATATATTTCAAACAACCGACTCTGTAGTAATCTTGCTCTATTTTGGGAAGAAGCCCAGAAACCTGTAATCTTTAATAGATGTCCTAAAATAACCTTGCCTATAATTTTTCTAAATTATACAGACTACAGAAATTCTATGATGGGCAATATTTGTTGTGTTGGTCTTACACACATAATAACAACTCTTTTATCTCTTTGCCATCCCTTCACTTTTTGTTGTTTCCCATATCACAATAGAAAAAAAAATCAGTGAATCTATAGGAAGTGTGCTCAGAGGTTTTCTAAATCTCATTCCTCAAAACAACAGCAGTGATATTACATTAAAATGCATATTTTTTAGGACAAAGATTTTCCCCCACTCTGGTTTGTCTTTTCATTCTCATAAAAGTGTGTTTCCCAGAGTATTTTTTAATTTCAATAAAGTTCAATTTTAATGAAGGTTAGAAGACAGAAGTTGTATTAATTTATTTGAGGCCCATCTACTGATTTCTACTATGGTAGCTGATTTAAAGCTGTTAACAAGAAAGGGCAAAGGCAGCAAAAGGAAATGAAATATACTTCCAGATGGGACAGGTCTCATCTCATATAACACAAAAGTGATCATTTCCATTAAAGGAATTTCTAAATAAAGAACACATAAGTCCCTAGTGTTTCTGATGAAGATAGTCACAAAATGTACTGTTATCAGTATTACAAAAGGATAAAAACTAATCTAGAAAATTAAATTCTGCATGAAACTCAGAAAAGAGAACATGCTATGTATTCCCTATAACCCCATATCCCAGAGAATATCAATATAATATTTTTAACTTTCCCCCTATTAGTTATGGTTGACAATCTCTACATCCCTTTTAGGAGTAACCTACCAAACCAAACTTACTAGGTATAAAACATTTGTCCTGGGATTATAAATTTACTAGAGAAGCCTCAATGAAAGGCTTATAACATTGAATTCAAAATGGCCTTCCCCACTCCTTTTACTTATTTTTATTTTCTTATTTTAAAAATTTTATTATGAATTAACATCTTATGGAGTACAAAGTGATGTTATGATTACAATGCATACAATGTGGCATAGTTAAATCAAGTTAATTGACATGTCCATCACCTCAAATACTTATCATTCTGGGGAACAATATGCTAAGTGAAATAAGCCAGGCATAGAAAAACAAATATCACATGGTCTCATTTATATGTGGAAACTACTCCTTTTAAACTAGAAGTTTGTTTTCCATTAGCCTTTCAAAATTGCCTAGGTGCATATGCATTTTATACTTTATTCATCATATCACTTATAACTTATGTTATAATAAGGAGATGTTTGATAGCATATATTAAATTAATCAGTATATATCTCTCCCCTTAAGCCTTCACATTATGCTCAACATAATAACCATCAGTGACTTAAATGGGTTTCTACATAAGTCTCTCATTTACCACAAACCCATAATATGTATAGATTTAAGTCCTTCTTTGTGTACACAGTGCTTTAGTCACAAATTGATCAGACTATAGGTATAATGTAGCCATCAGCGCATCCCTCTACCATTTAAATGCTTAAATAAGACTTTGTTCAATTTATACTTTTTTAAACAGTGTAAACATCTTTCCTCATTCTCCAAAGACTTTCAGCATCACCCAGACACCATCTGGTCATGTCAAGAAATACACCTACTTAAAGTTCAATTGACATGCAAACTAAATGTAAACTACAAAAATAATTTAACAGCCCATGGCAGTTTTAAAATGTAATTCATTAAACATTTCAAATGACCATGAAGGACTTAGAAGTCACAGTTTCAGATCACGAGCTGTAATAACTAACTGCCAGTTGACTATAATGCCCTATACTATAAACTAATATTTACATTACAGGTTAGTTTAACAGTGATTCCCCATGAGTTCCACACGTGAAGCATATGGAAAGTCAATCCTGAATTGTGTAAGTTAACCTTTCCCCAAAGTTGAAAACATTAAATTAAAAGCCATCAATAGCACACAATCCTCCAGCAATCTGGCTCATTTACATGCCAGATATGCATGTGGACTTTGAATTGTACAGTAATGAAGACAAATTCTTTTTTAAAAATCACCCAAACTGGGTCATGTAATTATTATCAACCTCAAGGACATCATTCAAGTTACCATCAGCATCATTCCTAACATACCTTGATATTCTAGCACTTCCTGTAATTTTTACATAAGTGCATGGCACAACCTCCTCCTAGTAATAAAGGGTACAAACTTTAGTAATCCTCTAATTATCCCTCTAAATCTCACATTGATTTGATTTCCAAGTCATGCTGACCTCTGTAATATTTTGCCATTTCTACAGTGACAGCCAGGCATCAATGCCCTCATACCAATACCCAATCTTCCTGATTGCTCTTCCTGCGGCATTTCATTTGCCTTTCCATTCCAATTCTAAGACTTTCAGTGAGTACTTACTGATTCTGGAATAATACACACACTTTTGATGTCATCTGAAATTACCTTTCTAGTTTTGGAATTTCATTATATTCCCCTGTGCATACTGTATTCTACCCCTACTGGGCTATTTACAACTCTTTACAGTCTTAATTCACCTTACCTTTCATTCATGTTGATGCCTCCCTCTGGCATCTGCCTTTCTAATACAATTTGTTTGCCTATGGTAAAAGTCTCCTTCCTTTTTTAACGTTAATAGGCTAGTTTTAGAGCAGTTTTAATTTCACAGAAAAAATGCGAAGAAATGACAGAGAATTGTCCTTATACCTCCACTCTGTCAGCACACAGTTGCCCCTCTTATTAATATCTTGCATTAATAAGATGCTATAATTGACAAGTTAATATTGATTTATTGCTATTAACTATCTGTAGCTTACTGTAGAGTTCACTTTTTGTGTTGTACATGTCTTATGGGTTCTTATAAGTGAATAATATTATGTATCCACCAATATAGTATCAAACAATAGTTTTACTATGATCAAAATCCTCTGTGCTCTGCTTATTCATCCTTCCCTCCCTCTTAACCCTTGACAACCACTGATCTTTACACTATCCCTACAGATTTGCATTTTCCTGAATGCCATCCAGTTGGAATCATGCACTATTTAGTCTTTTCAGACTGGCTTTTATCACTTAGCAATTTGTACTTTAGGTTCACTCAAGTCTTTTAAGCTTTGATAGGTCATTTGTACTAATTGCTAATTACTTTTCCATGTACATATGTACCACAGTTTGTTTATTCATTCACCTATTGAAGGATACCCGGAGGCTTTTACTTCTTAGCAATTATGAATAAAGTTGCTATAAACTTTGGTGTGTGGGTTTTTGTGTAAACACAGTTCTAAATTCGTTTGAATAAATAGGGAAGACAATGCTAACCTTTGAAAGAAGTGGCTATACCATTTTGCATTCCCACTAGCAGTGAATTGAAAGTTCTTGTTACTACAAATTTTTGT